GATGGCAAACACCAGGCAGGTCCCACCAGTCCCACTGTGCCTCAGTTTCCCCAGGTGCTCTTGGGACACTTGTGAAAGCCCCGTGTCCCCTCCCTGGTCCCTCTCCCCACACCCAGGGCAGGGCAGGGCAGGGTCTGTCACAGCCCAGCCTGAGCCACCTTTGTCCCTGCTCCCCGCAGCCGGCTGCACACCCACCATCAAGGGACAGCCACCGCTTCCGCCATGGCATGGGGCTGGGAGTGCCACCGCTGCAGCAGGTCCCCCCACCCACAGGAGGACCTTGAAGGCATGATGCCAAATGGCACCAGACCCCCCCCGGGGAAGGGACAGGACATGGTCCCAGCCGAGCGGTACCCAGGTGGGGGGCAGAGCCCCTCCCGCCCGCGGGCACGGTGGGTGCAGGCAGCAGGAGTCCGAGGGCTGAGCAACACCTTCTATTGCTTCCAGTGTGACAGGGACACCCCGTGCCCCAGCTGGGGACAAAACCACAGAGCTGTTCCCACCCGGGGACACGGCCAAACCCAGTGGGGAGACGTGCCCGCAGCCACCCCGGTCCCAGCGCTGCTTCCCAGCCCCCCGGCCCCCGCGGGGTCTGGGGACATGTCCTGGTGAGAGGGGCTGTCCGGGACCCCTCCCCGCTCACGCCGGGCACTGCAGGTTGCAGTAGTCGGCAGATTCGAAGAAGCCGTAGACGTTGACGAGGGGGAACATGACGAGGGCCCCCAGGAGGGAGCCCAGCTGCTCCATGGCCCCGTACCACACCAGCGCGCTGTGGCTGCGGCTCCGCAGGATCACCCCGGCCATCACCTTCAAGTAGGAGAGCGTCCCGGTGAAGAGCACCCAGGAGAGGACCTGGCGGCAAGGGGGGGGAGAGCAATCAGCGGGGCCAGGGATGTCCCCCGCCATGGGGACAGGGGACATCATGGTGAGACCAGAGCCAGGGGTGATTCCCAGGTGAGAGGGACTCTGTGACTTACAATGGTGGCATCGCCCCACTGGGACTGCTGGAGGAGCGGGCAGGGGCTCATCACTGCGATGGCCATGTTGTAGGCACCAAAGCCTGTCCCCAACACCGTGAGAGTGCCCAGCAGGGCTAGGGACCTGCAAGGGACATGCAGGTGACATTAAGAAGTGCTGCCACCCGAGCCCCGGCAAGCAGCACAACCCCATCCTCCCCTCCTGGGGTGTCCCTGCCCCCTGGGCACGGGCACCCTGGGGACCCTCTCCCCACTGGTGCCTTCACCACCCACGATTGCAAACCAGGGG